GGATGGTGCTGGGCAGCAGTGGCATCTTCCAGAGGCCTGGCCTTGCTGTCTCAGGCTTGGCCTGGTCCTTCCTCTCGCTCAGTTTTCTGTGTGGGTCGGTTCAGCCCCAGGTGGGTGTGCCTGCCCCGAGCTGGAAGAGGCTTTGCCCACTGTCATTATGGTTAGGGCCTGTCATTAACTCTAAAATGGGACACTGAGGAGGAGCGAGAATAGCTGAACTGGGCTGGGTGAGTGTGCCCGGCCCTGCGGGGGTGGGGCGGGCAGAGCCCAGGGCTCCTGACGTGGTTGGGGCCTGAACCCTTCGCGTAGACACAAGTGGGCTGTGGGACCATGCATCTTGGAAGTGCCACTGTGTCTCTGGGCCCCACGGAGGGTCCAGCGTGAGCTCTTGTGTTCCTGACCCCCAGTGCCATGCCCTTCACTCTGGGCTCGTTGGCCCTGTAGCGGGCACTGTGGAGGAACATCGGATGAGCTCAGAGACACAGGGGTACTTGATGGCATCTTGTACCCCACAACCTGTCTGATAGAAGGAAGGCCCTCAGGGCATCTGGGTGTCTGATCAGGAGCCTGGGAGGAAGCGAGTGGCCACGGATCAGAGTGGCCACAAACTGCTTTTGGTACAAATGGTCTGACTGGAACCCAGAGACCCGCAGGCTGAGGAGGGAGCACATGTTGGTGTTGGTCCTGGATCTGACAGGAGACGCAAGGGGACTGCTCAGCTGTGAAGGAGGATGAGGGTGGTCCCCGGGAGCCGGTTGGGAATGACTTCCACAACGCCTGGTGATTGAGAAGAACCCAGGGCAGATACGCTGTGGGGTGCGTGTTAAGAAATGAGGGAATGAGAACATATGCAAAGGAGGCTTCAGAAAGTTCATGGAGAAATGAAATGGAAAGATGCTAGATGTTTTCCTCTAACTTTTTGAAGCCCCCTTGTACTGGTAACTGCTTAGTTTTGCCAACAGAAGCATAGAAGGATGAACGAGACCAAATGAGGTTGATGCCCAGGGTGGGAGGGGAGGGCAGGGGGGCATGCATTTGGGGAGCTGTAAATGTTTTACATGGAAAAAACAGACTCAGAAAGGAAATTCAGCAAAAAAACCGAAAAAACCCCAAATCTACCAAACCCACTGCCATGAAGTCGATTCTGAGTCCATAGCCACCCCAGTGAGGGTTTCTGCGACTGTAAGTCTGTGTGGGAGCAGAAAGCCTCATCTGTCTTCCTAGGAGCAGCTGCGGTCCAATGATTATCTTAGAGGCTCCCAGGTCTCTTTAAATTCAGCGAGGGTGGGGGAAATGCTAACATGGAACACCGGTCACTCTTCAAAGAGGTCACAAATGTCCAATTTACGTACAACTTGTAGTAGGAACCAGCCCCTGCAAAGCCTATTATATTTAAAAATTCCAGGTAGCTACAGCGGTTCTTAAGAACATTGCTGCTTTTGTGACGTACTTCAAAACATTGTGATTACTGTATTATTATGTTGACGACGTTTCTTTGATGTTTTTGATGGAGAGAAACACGCTGTGTGCTATGTATACCAAGGCAAACATTTGATTGACTGACCTTAGATCTGAACCGTTCCTAACGATTCCAATTTACATACAAATCCAGCTTAAAGAGATTTCAGAACAAGCTCGTTTGTAATCCGAGGCCTGCCTGTATGAATGGAAACAAATAAACCAGCTGTATTCAAATGAATCACATCATCACACTGAAGGGGGATGGAAAATGAATTCGTGTAGCTTTGGATACACTATTTTGATTATATACCCTCAGACAAAAGTTAACAAGGATTGTACACCAAGATTGCGTTCTATTTCTGTGTTTTGTTTGTTCTCAGGAGTTGTTGTTGTTAAGTGCCGTCGAGTTGGTTCCGACCCATAGCGACCCTGTACAGGGTTTCCGAGGGGGTAAATCTTTACGGGAGTAGAAAGCCTCATCTTTCTCCCGCGGAGCAGCTGGTAGTTTCGAACCGCTGACCTTAAGGTTTGCAGCCTGATTCGTAACCACTACGCTACCAGAGCTGGGATAGTAATTCTGAGACTACTTTTGGTATATACTGGAATTGAACAAAGAACCAGAATTATTGAGGGTGGTGGGGAGCCTGTGTTTCTCACTGGCTGGGAAAGAAACTGAATATCTGGATAGGGGAGAGATGAGAGTGAAGGAAGCTGGGATTTGAGGGGACTGAGAGACAGTTACAGACCCAGATCTAAGGAATAAGGAACCGTGCTGAAACAGTGAAGCACTCAGCTGCCCTCTGCAATGTCGGTGGTTTAAACCCACTCAGCAGGAGAAAAGATCGGGAGCTGTTTCCACAATGACGGCAATCTAGAAAACAGCTGGAGCAGTTCTGCCCTGGGTGGTCACCGAGCTGTAAAAGATGTAACAATGATGGTGACCACACGTGTCTATCCTTCATCAGCTCGAAGGGCCTAGAAACAATGGCTGGTCATCGCCAACGAATGTACCCAGCACCAGGGCTTGGCGTCTACACACCATGCAACCATGCAGTGATATGGAAGGAAGGAGGGCTTCTCGGAGAAATAGCAGATTCCTGGACTAGGGAGGAAAAGTATAACATGAACCTGGAACATTGCGTGCCTTAAAGTAAGGGATGTTCAGAGAACAGTGGGAACATGGGAGCCCCCTTCAGCCAAATCGAGGACTTCAGCACTAAATATGTGACCATCGCCTCCTACTTTATAACTCATATAAATCAGTAACAGGCCCGAGCACTTGAAAGGAGTTGTTTCATTTGTGACCAGTGACCATCCTGTCTAAGAGGTGGGGGCTCTGTGGGCTACAGGTGGGCACATCGAGGTCACGTCCAGTTTGGCGTGTCAGGTGTCAGGTGTCCTGCCTGCAGCATGGTTTGTGCTGACCCTGCTCTTGGGTTCTGGTTCTGGTCTGACTGTCCTCTGGATCTGTTGCTCCATCTAGGTTTCTGGGGGGCAGGGGCAAGCTCTAGAAACCCAGCAATCGGGCCCTGAGTGACGGGTATTGATGAAGACACAGCTGAAATCTTGGGGTATTCTCCAGGTGTGTGTGTGGCATGTGTGCATAGACGACGTGTGTACAGACTGTGTGTAGATGATGTGTGTGTAAACTACATGTATGTGCAGGCTATGTAAGTGTAGACTATAAGCATTTAGATTACGCGTGTAGACTACATATACAAGTAGACTGTGAATCTGTACCACATGTGTATAGACTACCTGCATGCAAATGACAGTCATGTAGATGCGGTATAGATCACACATGTGCTATACCTGTGTAGACTCCATGTGTAGACTGGACTACATGTGCATGTAGGCTGTGTGAATATGGATAATGTGTCTAGATGACATGCATGTAGATGACATGTTGTGCAGACTCTGTGTGGACTCCATGTACTTGCAGACGATGGGTGTGTAGACTATCTACATGTAACCTCAGCCATGTAGATGGTGTGTGAGCAGATTGTGTGCATGGATGACATGTGTAGACTAAGTGTGTGTAGACGCCCATGTATGTCAGCTGCTCCTCAGTGCCAACACTGGCTGGAGCGCTGCGCTGACATCAGTTTGTGTAATTAACTAACAGGGTGCAGGCTAGGTTAGGAAATGGGGCCTCAGGCGTGGACCTGAATAGTAGAGCTGGCAGACAGGATTTGAACCTTACTCAGAGGCAGCTAACTCTAAGACCTGCACTCTGGTCTCCCTGCCACTCCCAGATGTTTGTTTCTTTCTTTCCTTCTCTCTTCCCTCCTTTCCTTCCTTTCTCTCTCTGTGTCTTTCTTTCTTCCCATTCTCCCTCCCTTTCTTTCTTTATTCTTCTCCCTTAAACTCTGTTTACTTTGTTGTTGAGAACGCGCACAGCAAAGCGCAGCAATCTGACCGTTGTTCCTGCATGTGCACTTCAGTGACATGGTTGCATACCTGGAGTTGTGTGGCCATGCTCAGCCCTTTTCTGAGCTGTCCTCCCATAAACAGCAAATCATTGCTCTCCAAGTTTTCCATCTACTCTTTCAAGTCTCTCTTGTCAGTTTAACTCTATCCTACTTCTTTATCATGTTTCTTTCTCAGCTGTTTCCGCGTGAGGGCTGGGCCGAGGGCCATCTTGTCGTCCTTTCCCCACGTCCCCTGGCTGCATCACCGAGCCCAGTGGAGCTGGGGCATACCTGGTAGAATCACACAGGAAGTAGATGAATCAAACACTGGTTTGGGGCTTCTGACCTTGGTTCTTTTCAGCTACCCCCCTCCCCATGGTGTCACTGATGTGGTCCACTGCGGGTATTTGATGGGGTAGTCTTGGCTGTGTAACATGCAATTGTTGGGTGGTCTGTGCCATTGGACAGGTATGGTATCCTCTCTGACCCAAAGGCCATGTGCTTGGTCCCAGCCATGGCTTTTAGGGTTGAGGTGCTGGTGCTTCTGGGAAGGATGTGGACAGCTAGCCATGGATGGCCATGTGTGCCGTGCCAAGAATGTTACCTGCACCAACAAGGGCAGAGGACATGGAGACTTCTCCTCATTCTGAGGCCTCACTGAGTTTTGCTGCTTTGTGGTGGGGAAACCAGCAAACCTGCTGTGGATAGAAACTCAGGCTGTGGAGCTGGCTGCCTGGTCCACTCCGTCGCGCCTCGCCCAGCCTGGGGACTGGGCTGTGTCTTCAGTTTGCTGAGCGGATTTCCTGATCTGTAGAATGGGAGCGTGCTCGTGGGTCCCGGTATAGAAGTTTGGTGCTGTATTTGTTATTACTGACAACGTTTTAGCCGAGGAGCCCTGGTGGTGCATCGGGCTAAGTGTGGGGCTACAAATAGAAGCTAGGTCAGTGGTTCAAATCCATGAGCTGTTCTGCAGGAGAAAGACAAGTCGCTTCTGCAGGATGACAGTCTTGGGAACCCGATGGGGCAGTTGTTTCTACCCTGTCCTGTAGGCCTCTATGAGTCAGACTTGGGGGGCAGTGGGCTTGGGTGGAGTTTAAGTTTTAACCGTTTCGCCCTTCTTTTCTCCAGTTTCTGTGCTTGAAGAACATCCGCACCTTCCTTAAAGTCTGCCATGATAAACTTGGACTAAGAAACAGTGAGCTGTTCGACCCCTTTGACCTCTTCGACGTCCGTGACTTTGGGAAGGTGAGTGGCCTTCTCTTGTGTGTCACTGCGGTGTGGTGTCTGCACAGCGGTTCAGCAGCAGGCGGACCAGGTGAGCAGAGCAGGCCGGCACCTCCCTGGCCGAGTGGAGTTTTCCGTCCTTGTCTGACAGGTGCAGGCCGGGTTGTATTACAGACAGGAGGGTGTGGAGCCAGATTTGTGCAGTGGGGTTGAGGTTACTGCCCAGTCACCTCTGGCTCCTGCTGACTTTATACCCAACAGAACAAAAGTACCCATGATTGCTGAGGTGTTTGAGCCCATCTTGTGGGTTTGTGTCCATCGGTCTTATGGCCAAGGGTCCTCGTTTCCACACACCCCTCTCCTTGACCCGCCATGGTGTCCTTTTTAAGTGATTGGTCTTTCCTGATGATGAGTCTAAGGCGTGTCCACTTGTGTTGTGGACCCGGAGGAGGGGGATGCATCGAGCTGGGACCGAGCTGGCCCTGCCTTTGTCCCCGGGGACCCTGAGACTTGATTTCCCCTGAATCTCTGTCTCTTCATCTGTAATGGGGCAATGCTGCCCCACCTGCTCAGAGTTGGTGGAGATGGTGGCCTCTGAGGGGAGGCCATCTTGCTTATACCTGGAACAAGCAGGTGTCGCACCAAATGGGGGGTGTCTACCTGATCCCCTGAGGGCCCAGAGGTAAGCCTCCACAGATTCTCAGAAAGGCAACCTGGGAACCTGGGCAGGTTCGGAGGGGCTGGGGAGGCTTCCTGCTGAGTCTGGGACAGTGGTGGGCGTCATGTGCCACAGAGAGGCCAGGGCTCAGGGTGGTGGCAGGTTCTTCGGCGGGTTGGGGCTGAGTCTGTGCAATGTGGAACAGGCTTTGTACTGGTGTTCCCGAGTCCCCTTTCAGGGGTCTGTGTGGTTTGGCCCTGGCATCCAGGGCTCGGCACAGGCTTCCTGCTGATGAGACTGAGAGTCCACCAGCTGATGGGAGTCCACATCAGAAGGTATTTGTGACTCTGCTGATATGAGGATGGTTATCAGGAGATGGGGGCTTGAAGACACATCGTAGGGAAACATGATTAAGGATGTGCAGGAGGGGTCTCCTAGTCAGAGTTAACAGATGCTGAGAGAGGAACCCTATACGAAGTGCTACAAAGTATCCAATCAGAATTGCCAGCAAGGAGCTTCCTATCAGCCACCTGGGCTCACAAGACCTCCCTTTGTCCAGACTCCCTCAGGGCCTCTCAGGAGCCTAGGTCTTAGAGGATTTGTTCTTCCTTCAGTGATGGACCTGGGGTGTCCATTCCTATGAATGGACATCCTGATGCCCACAGGTTTGTTTTAAACTGAATCGGAAACTTTCTTCAGTTTTTTCTCCTTTAGACAACAGAAGTGAATCTGCCTCTTGCAGCCCGATTCTGGAGAAAGCGCCTTCAGAGCATACGCATTCACCCGAGCGCATGCACACACTCACACACATGCACAGTTATGCACACTCATTCAAATCCACACATGCACACATATACACACGCATACACTCAGCACACCCACCACACTGACACATATACACGCACACGCACGCACATTTATGCACACTCATTCAAATGCACACATACATATATACACGCATACACTTGGCACACCCACCACACCGACACATATACACGCACACACACGCACAGTTATGCACACTCATTCAAATGCACACATACACACATACGCACACTCACACACACTGTTATGCACCCTCATGCAAATCCACACATACACACATTCACACACTGCGCACGCACACATAATACACCCACGCTCGCACACACATAAACACACACAACACACACAATCACATGCACTCAAACGTATACTCACACATGCACACACATACACATACTCACATATGAACATTCATACACTCACATACATACACACACTCACACACACACATACATGCACTCATACATGCACATGCTGGCACTTACACAATGTAATCACAGTCATGTGCACACACATGCACACCAGACATACACATACACGCACACACACATACACACTCACATATCTGTGCAGGCACACACGTAACCACACACACTCACACACACATACACAGTCATATGCTCACTCACACATAAACATGCTCACACACGCACATATTCACACAAACGTACACTCACCCACATACATACACGTACACACGCATAACCCCCACTCACATACATATACACGCACATACCAGTACTCTTGCACACACCCCCACATGTAACCACACATACTCACACATATATGCACTCACACATACACACTCAGAAATCCACACATGCAGACACATCCACATCCACTTACACTCACTCGTATAACCCTGCATACACTGACGCACACTGACACACTCATATAAATATATACATATTGGCACACATTCATGTACACACTGATATCTCACTGTCACACACAACACACACACACGGACACGTATTCACAGATACACAGTCACACGACCACACGTATACACACACACACACTCCCACACACTGGTATTTAAAGTAATTGCAGAGAGGAAAAGGCAGGAAAACCGTGGCTAACCCCAGTTCTTGGACAGCAGTTAGCGTTCAGACTGTCAGTCTATAATTTCATTTTGCTTTCGTCTGCTGCAGCCGAATGCAGTGATGTAAGAGACGTGCGCTGCTGACCCGCCCAGTGGAGCCACTTGGTTTGCAATGGGAGTCTTGTCACCGGCTCCGGCTCCGGCTCCTGGTGACAAGTCGCTCAGGGCTGCTGTGTGCTGGGCTCAGCCCACTCGTGCTGTCCCACCATGGGCAGCTGTCATGCTTTTGGGGCCTTGGATTTGGAGCAGGGCTACAAGTGAGGTACCCATCCATTCCTTTGAGCTGAACTGTGGGGTCTCAGGTCCCACCTCAGCACTGTTGAGAAGCGGAGTTTCAGACAAGGGACTCAGGGTGAGGACAGTTCTGTGCTTTCCTCCCCTGCAGCTTTCGGGGTGTGTGGGACCCTGACGAAGGTCAGCTGGCTTGCTTCCCTACTGGCTGGGAGACTTGGGGCAAATGCCCCTTGGTCTCCGTGGCTGGTGGGCTGGAGTGACGGATCAGAGGAACCTGCTGCATGGTGGGTGCCTGGCACTTTATAGCCCTTCATGAAGTGACCACCACTTTGTTGTTCTGGACCCTTCCTCTCCAGACTTATTTGAAACCAACTTGACTTTCACCAAGAGATTGAGGCTGCCTCTGGCTTGTTTATTTTTTATTCATTTGTTTTTGTTGGGAATATGCAGAGACCAGCATTCAGGCTTCTGCGTGTCCTGTTCGTGACCCTGATGTCATTTGTGGAGTCGCGCGGGCCTCCTCTTCTGAGTTGTTCCTCCTCCAGGAATGTGCGCTCGCTGCCCCCACCTCAGTTTTCTCTCCATTATTTAATGGAGAGCCATCGTTACCTGGGTGGCTGTGGGGGAGAGTGTTTGCTGAGTACCTGGGCGCTGGAGTCCAGCAGTCGGGATTTTCAATGTCGAACCCTTCTTTCCCTCTGCCCATTCCTTCTCTTGGATCGGGTGACGGTTCCTGGTTCTCCCCTCCCCCTTCCCTGTGTCTTTCTCTTTGGTGGTGAATCTGTGGCTTAGCACTTCCAAGTGGAGTTTGAAGCAAGGCCAGCTGAGGCTTGGGCGCTCGGCTCTCTCTTCCCACGTGGACGCCTTTGTTTGAGCTGGACGGTTTTGCTTTGCTCAGCTCTCCTGGCTCCTCTGGTTCATACTTCCCCTGGAAAAACAAACCGCACACAGAGCCCTGGTCCTTTCTGGCTTCACTGTGCCTGGGTATCTGAGACTGAGGATTGCCCCATCCCTGGAGGGTGTTTGGTCCCACCCTGCAGTGGACAAGGCAGGGAAGGACCTTCTGAGAGTAGAAGTCCGGCCTTGTGCTGCCCGTGGAATCAGTGTTGGGTACAGGTTTTCTCACTAGGGGGCTGTTTCTGAGGAGGGGCCCGGAAGGGAGGTCTTTGTGAGAGACTCTTTTTCCTCTCCGGGCCCCTCCTGTCCCGAGGGTGGATGCTGAGAGTCTTAGGAGGAGGCATGTGTCATCTCCTCTCCCCAACATGAAGCTCTGGAGTCAGAAGTGACTTGCCGTCTCCTGGGTGGGGGGTGGGCTGAAGGATAACCCTCCAGGGCCAAGGCCAGCTGATGTCAGCCAGCACCTGTCAGGAGCCAGTGTCGTGTTTGCAACTTAGTCTAGGAGGAAGGTTAGTATCAAAGAGTCTGGAATGACCTCAGAGGGGTCTGCAAAGAGTCTGTGACTCTCCACTTTACCTAGCATATAATGTCCTTCTCCAGGGATCGATCCCACCTGATAACATGTCTGAAGTATGAGAGACGAAGTCACATCATCCTTCATCTCAGGAGCATTCTGGTCAAACGTCTTCCAACACAGATTAGTTTGTTCTCCTGACAGTCCATGGTACTTTCAATCTTCTTCTCCAACACCATAATTCAAATGCATCAATTCTTTCTACTGTCTTCCAAATTTCCCACGCATATGAGGTGATTGAAAATGCCTTAGCTTGGTGTTGAAGGATGATGCATGGAGGGGATTGTAATTATTGCAATGAAATGAAATATGATAGGATGAATGTAAAGCTGATGTTCTTCCATGTAAACTATTCACAATAAAAACTTTAAAAAAAAAAAAGAAAATACCTTAGTTTGGGTCGGGTGCACCTTAGTCTTCAAAATGATCTCTCTACTTACAGTTGGGATTTGGTGACTAGAAGATGAATAGGGACTAAGTAGCTGACCGCTGCTCCTCGGGATCCTACACAGGACACTGTGAGTTAGGACGGACTCAATGGCACGTACACCCCCACCACTTAGTCTTGGGCGGACTTGACATATAAGACTTTCAGGGTTTTTTCCCCCCATTACTCGAGCATGCCCTGGCTAGACTTCGAGAGTTTCTTGTTCATTTTTTTAATAGCCATCCATCAACTTTCCAAGTTCTCATGATGTTGGAGCCATTTCTTGGGATGAGCAAAGGCA